TCGCTGTCCTACTGCGGCTCCTGTGACTGGCGAGGTGACTATCACCACGGCCGCTGGGGAAGCTCCGGGAAGAGACAAGGATGATTCTGATGCTACCACCCCGGTCGCTACTGAGACTGCGACTGCCACTAGGATCGATGCTCCTGTTGAGCCTACTACTACTATCACGACCCCTCAACCGGCCAGCACAGCTGCTGTGACCGATGAGGTTGTTCCTACTACTGCAGCCCCTGTGACTGACGAGGTCACCATCACGACGGCAGCTGGGGAAGCTCCGGGAAGAGACAAGGATGATTCTGATGCTACCACCCCGGTCGCTACCGAGACTGCGGCTGGCACTACTACGATCGATGCTCCTGTTGAGCCTACTACTATCATGACGTCCCCTCAACCGGTCAGTACGCCCGCTGAGACCGATGAGGTGGCTGTCACTACTGCAGCCCCTGTGACTGGCGAAGTGACCATCAGCACGGCAGCTGGGGAGGCTCCCGGTAGAGACAAGGATGACTCTGATGCTACCACCCCGGTCGCTACGGAGGCTGCAACTGTCACGACTACGATCGGTGCTCCTGTTGAGCCTACTACTATCACGTCCCCTTTCCCGGTCAGCACAGCTGCTGTGACGGATGAGGTTGCTGTCACTACTGCAGCTCCTGTGACTGGCGAAGTGACCATCACGACGGCAGCCGGGGAAGCTCCCAGTAGAGACAAGGATGATTCTGATGCCACCAACCCGGTCGCTACTGAGACTGCGGCTGTCACTACTACGATCGATGCTCCTGTTGAGCCTACTACTCCCACGTCCCCTCTACCGGTCAGCACAGCTGCTGTGACCGATGAGGTTGTTGCTACTACTGTGGAGACGACCGATTCCGAGACTACTCTCAGTCCGATTGTGTAGCCGATTTAGGTTAATGAAGCTTTGTAATGCCCGGTGAACGCATTTAATACAATCCGGGCCACTGCATGATGTCTTGATAATGAGTGTATAAGTGTTCATCTGTCCAAGTTGTGTTGGAAACGTTGCGTCGTAACATCATGAAAGCATCGACGCTATACCCCAATACGAAACCTATTGACAGTGCATCAGAGATATCTGAGTGGTTCCGAGATTGATGAGCGAGGGCGGGCAAGCCGCACCACAATGATCCTCTTACCAACTAGCATGAGCCCATGTTGGTTCTCCAGTGTCTGAACTCCGATTGCTGATATGCTGACAATTCTGTTGATAGTGAGTTGAAATACAGAGGTTGGGTATCCTAGAACCTCTGATGTACACCCCTCCACATATTAGTATGAGAGTGAAACATGGAGGGATACCATTATGAACGATTCTCATTCTGTTGATGTATAGCATTAGATCAGGAGCGGAGTTATAGATATACTCCCCGAGTAAAAGTTGGTATTTTGAGGCGAAATTTTAACAC